TCACTACGGCTATATACAATCTTGGGAAGGTTTGACTCTATAATGCAACCCTAGAATCTGTAAATTACAAATCTACACACCCAAATTCACTCTCCATTTTTTTTTTCTTTTTTAAAAAGATTACATGCACAAAAGCATTAGAAAGACTCGAAGAAGAAGAAGAAACTCAAGAAACAGAGTGACATCTTCTCTTCTGAAACATGAATCGTCTTTCCGAATTCGTTTTCTCCTCCGTATGCTTACCGTTCTTGGGAGTACTTTGGCTGCTCCTAAATCTCAAAACGATTGCGTTCAACTTGTTCAGACCTCTTGAGAGCTTCCTCAACATTCCATAACGCCTCCTCCTGCTCTGCGGCTTCACGAAGTCTTTCTTCATCGAAACATGATCCTTCTCGAGGTCCGTTAGCCTCATCCTCATCCTGGCCACTTCCAGTCTCAGCTCTCTGTTCTCTCTTCTCACTGACGCATAGTTGTCCCGCGGCGAGATCGCTCCGCTTGCCATCCCGCTTCCCGAGCGGTTTGTGAACAAGAAGAACTGGCTTTGGCTCGTGCCACCGCCGCTGGTCATGGCGTTCTTGAGCCGTGTCTGTTCGTAGAACAGGACTTGAACAGCAATCTGAACCGGAAGCCTCTCATTTTGCGCCGCATGGCTGCTTGCGTCCTGCGACAGTTTCTTACAGCTGACTGTCTTGCAGAGACGGTAACGTTCTGAATCTTTCATGTGGGGATGAACCTAATCCAAAACCATAACACAGTGAGCAATAATTTAGTCAAGTGAAAAAGCAGATTCTTTTATGATATTTTGGATTGGACTACCTTGAGGAAGATATCAACGGCTCGGTAGAGACCATCGCAGAGGACGCGAGCATGGTCAGGGAGAAGCTCTGCGAGAGCTATGAATTTGGAGGGAGGGAGGCTCGAGTCGAGAGCCACCTCAGCGAGATAACTATCCATCAGCTTCGACACCTTGAAGATGGAGCTCTGTTTCGGAGACTCAGCCCCCTCGAAATCGTAAATCGCCATCTCGCTCTCGTCCACCGCATCTCCAGCGTCCTCGTCGTCGTCATCATCTCTGTAGTCGCACTCGTCAAGGTTCAGGAACATGGAGAAGATTCTCTGCACCGAGTCGGTGTCGTACATGGCGCCCATGTTCGCCGGAATAAGGATGTCTTCCAGGATCGCCTGGTCGAGCTGGTGGCTGATCCGTCTCTCCAGATCCGATCTGCAAGAGACGGAGGTTCCAGATCCTATAGCGGTCTTCAACAAGCTAGAGAGGAACGATATCGGAATTGAGCTTTTGTTCGCTTGCGTTGGGAGGAGCCCCACGACCGCTTCAAGGACGATTCGCTGTTTCCTCTGCAGATCGGAATCTGATTTGACGAGACTCGGTTCTCTGATGATTTGCAGTGACTTGCGAGCGTAGCTCATGAGGATGTCACTGATAATGTCGTGATTGAGACCTTTGGATTTCATGGCGGAGAGAACTCTCTGGAAGAAATCGAGCTTGAGGATGGGAAGAGAGCGCCCCCACCAGTCACAAGGTTTCTCAGTCTCCGGCACGCCGCAGCTGAAATTCTGATCAAGCTTGAGCAAACCAGAGGCTAGCTGTTCTTTGCAGGCGTTTACAGCGATTGCGTTGACCAGCCTCCCGACGAGGTTGATCTCTTCAGCTACAGGCAGTAGCCTCTCGCTGGAGTGAAGAACAGTGATCGAATTCGAAATGTCATTAAAGATGGAGTCTTTGAGGTAGGCCTCTGTTCTCGCCTCCAGGTTCTTCTCCGACAACTCTTCTGTCATCTCAAGGTAATGAGCCACGCACCGCAAAGCCGCAATGTTGGCCGAGTTGAATTGGACGCCGACGCCGTAGCAGAACTTTGCAGCGAGCTCGAACGATTCTGAGCCGCCTGGAACTACGGCTAGGTTAAGGTTCTTGTCTTTTGATTCCAGAACAAGTTTCCGGATTCTTCCACTCCGAGAGACGAGGGGAAACTGAAAACAAAAAAAAACAAGAGACAACGAGTTTGTGTAAAGCAGTTTCGAGTTCACGAGCTTATTAGCTAGCTTGAATTTCTTTACCTTGTGAAGGGAAAAGCTGGCAGAGCCGACTTCGATGGTTAAGTCACTCGTAACGTCCGAGACAGGCCTGGAACAGAGATATCAGCAGGAAGAGAAAAACCAAAGGGAAAAAAAACTGTCACAAAGGAAAGAAAAGATGAGTTAGTGATGAGTACCATTGAGGAGTGTGTCTGATGCTGGAACTTGGACGAAACGCTCTTTTAGCAGCAACACTTTGCTTAGACTCAGGAACAGTAACAACACCCATTAGATTTAGATCTCTCTTCCCCCCAAATAAAGTTGCAAACCTTTTTTTGTGTTATTGCAAATATGTTTTTGTGTTTCTACCAAAAATGTTCCTTACTGTCGGCTGCATATGCTCTCTCTCTCTCTCTCTGCCTTTCAAATATGAAAGATTGTGCCATGGAGTGAGAGTTAAAAACACACATGAATTCATGCAGAATTAAAGCGGAATTATGACTTTCTTCTTTAAAACAAACAGTTTTTTCTTCTTCTTCTTCTTCTTTATGTGCATATCATATAATAAAAAATTAGGTGAATGTATATAACTTTATCCTCCGGGAATTAGGACACTAATCTCGCTTTCTATAGGTAGTGTGAGAGTGCTTGTATGATTACATGATCTCATCCCACAGTCCACACGTCAGGTTATACAAAATGCTTTTCTCTTCTTTTTTTTAATCAAGGTGGTATTAATATTTAGATTTTCTTACAAGATATCAATATATAGGTAGTTTGCTCTGTATGTTCACATTTTATTTTTTAATTGAAAAGCAATATATGTGTATGTTGATTAGCGTAAAAAGTCAATTAAGTGTGCTGTTTATTACTTATGCTTTTCGGTGAAAAGTTTAAAAGTGTTGTAAAAGTCAAGGAAAGCTGCAACATCAAATACACATGCGTAAACGATCGTAAAATAATATTTTGTGTGGAGCCCACCGTCACTATGCACGCATAGTAATTTACTTTTTTATGCCTATATAAACGAACGAATTCGTTCGATGTAAGATCACAATTCATACTTCAACAATAAGAAGTTATAAGAACTCTCTCTCCTCCTCTCATCTCTTTATTTTCAGTATCCCGATCCTTCTACGGGTATAAATTCTTTCTCCATTAAATATATTTATACACACCATAAAATAAAGTAATTATTATAACACGTTATCAGCACGATCACTCTATGATCGCTGAAAAAAAATACGGTATTATACCGGGCAGTATGTCGCCTCGTTAAAAGAAAAAATATGAGAAAAAAAAAAAGGGAGAAAAGAAAATTATATAAATAAATAAAAGAAACTATATGGTTGGCTGAGCCACCTGAAATTACTTCATGCACCATAATTAATTATTTTCTGTTAATGGTTGGCTGAGCCACCTGAAATTTTATTCACTGCTTTAAATATTTATTTCTGCTACCGGTCGGCTGAGCCGCCTTAATTTTATGCACTGCTTTAAATATTTATTTCTGTTGCCGGTCGGCTGAGCCGCCTTAATTTTATGCACTGCTTTAAATATTTATTTCTGTTGCCGGTCGGCTGAGCCGCCTTAATTTTATGCACTGCTTTAAATATTTATTTCTGCTACCGGTCGGCTGAGCCGCCACATATATATTTACTGTTTCTATGTGGATAATTCGTCACCATAATATCACTGTAAATTATTTGTTTATATTATGGTTTATTCACCTGTATAAATATTTTTATCTGAATCGATAATTTTTATCTTATTGATCTCTAATTTTTCAGATAAATTTTTTTGTTTAAATCTTTTTTCGCCAACGGTCTCAAAGAAAAATTTCAAAATTTTTTCAAAAATTTCAAATCTTTCCAACGGCTAGGAATAGTATTTTTCAATCTATAAATACACTTATTTTCTCATTCATTTCATCAAAACAAAATTTTTTCATCTCTCTAAAAACTCTCTCCGAAAAAAGAAGAAGAATTTTGAAGTTTTGAAGTTTTGAAGAATGTGTCGATTATTCTTAATATTTGTTTTTGGAATCATTATTATGTGTATTTATAATCTTTGCGTTGTAGATTTTACTCCGCAAGAATTTCGTTTGAACATTAGTTTATTTGTTTGTACGCTTTTTCTTTTTGTAATCGCTTGCATTATTAATGTAAACGGTTTATTTTAAATATGTTTTAAAATAAATTAAATAAAGATTTCTAATAATATTCCATGTTTTTATTTTAGAAAACAAATGGCAAATATTGAGAAGCTTAAGTTTTTGGCTCTGCACATCACTTTGGCCAATTATATATTTTTTGAATTGCCAACGTCGAATTACATTTACAATCTCTTGGCTTAATAAAAACCGCTAAAGAGAATAATATTTCGACGGTTCAAGAAAGGGAAAAATTGGTGATCTTTATTTTAAGACACCTTGATGAAAGTATGATATGTGATTATGCACACATATAAGATCCCAGAGAGATCTAGGAATCCCTAAAGGCTCGATTTGATAATCGAAAGGCAATAAATCTCCCACTTGCTTGGGATGAATGGCAAATGATAAACCTAATTAACCTAGTTTCCTAATGGATTATAATTCCGCTATGATGGAAATTGTGGTTAAACTAAAATATTATGGTGATATTATCACTGATTCTCAGATGCTTGAGAAAACGTATACCACGTTTCATGAAAACCACATTACCCAGCAAAAACTGTATATGTCATAAGGGTATACCGAATTTTCGGATTTATTTGTGGCACTCCTAATAGCGGAAAAGATTAATGAGACCGCTCATGCGGTTAACTAAAGAGCTTGTATTGAGACTGCTGAAATAGTCTCTAGTTATGCCATATATATAATATTATGCTTTTGTTATTTTGAAAAATAATGTTGTTTTAACAACAATTTAATATATAATTATTGTGTGTTTTCCTTTCATGAATAAAATTTACTTTCTTTTTATTGATGTTTATCTTAATCACAGAAATGGATGAAACAATCTCCAAGGAAATGGCTCAAGAAATTTGCATAACAGATAGTGGGGCAACACACACTATTCTAAAGGACAAAAGATATTTCCCTAACTTAAAACCGGCAAACATTATTGTCAATACAATATCAGGTCCTGTAGACGTGATTGAAGGAACTGGTATGGCCAACTTTATGTTGCCTAATGGAACCAAGTTTTCCATAAAAAATGCCTTGTATTCTCCAAAATCTAAAAGGAATTTGTTGAGTTTCAAAGACATATATCTTCAAGGATATGATACTCAGTCTGCAACTGAGAATGAAAAGAAGTATATGTACATAACTTCTGATAAATCGGGAAAAAGGCTTATATTGGAAAAATTTCCAAAACTTCCTTCAGGATTGCATTATACTCATATAAGTGCAATCGAATCGCATCTAGTGATTAAAAGAAATCCAGAAGATTTCACATTATGGCATGATCGCCTCGGTCATCCAGGCACCTCGATGATGCGAAAAATCATAGAGAGCTCACATGGACACCCATTGAAAATCCAGGAGATATATCATGGGAATAAAAAGACATGTGCCGCATGTTCTCTTGGAAAACTTATCATAAGGCCATCGCCAGCCAAAATTGATAAAGAATCACCAAAATTCCTTGAACGAATTCAAGGAGATATTTGTGGACCAATACATCCACCATGTGGACCATTCCACTATTTCATGGTATTAATTGACGCATCCAGCAGATGGTCACATGTTTGTCTATTATCATCTCGAAATATTGCATTTGCGAGATTTCTAACTCAAATAATCAAATTAAAAGCTCAGTTCTCTGATTATTCCATTAAGAGAGTTAGACTAGACAACGCTGGTGAATTCACATCCCAAGCATTCAATGATTATTGTATGGTAACGGGAATTGAAGTTGAACATTCTGTACCTCATGTTCATACACAAAATGGCTTGGCGGAATCATTAATTAAACGTCTGCAATTGATTGCAAGACCATTGATCATGAGATCAAAACTTCCAACCTCTGTATGGGGACATGCCATTTTGCATGCAGAAGCACTCATTCGGATAAGACCAAGTGCATACCATAAATACTCCCCACTACAGTTAGCATTTGGTCGAGAACCAAATATATCCCATCTAAGAATTTTTGGTTGTGCAGTGTATGTACCTATAGCACCACCACAACGTACAAAGATGGGACCACAATGAAGGTTGGGAATATATATTGGCTGTGATTCTCCATCAATTATAAGATACCTAGAACCGCAGACTAGTGATGTCTTTACGGCACGATTTGCCGATTGTCACTTTGATGAGAAAGTATTCCCGGTTCTAGGGGGAGAAAATAAGCAAGTAGGGAAAGAAATCAAATGGTGTGTACCATCCCTGTTACACCTTGATCAACTTCCCGATGCTTTTGCAGATACCAAAACGGTAACTAAATCATATATACCAGCTGCAAATGTCCCTGCTCGAATTGAAATTCCACAAGAAAGTGGAAAAGCAGATGATACACGTGAGTCTAAAACACGCTTGAAACGTGGTAGACCAGTTGGTGCTAAGGATAAAAATCCTAGAAAACGAAAGGAAGTTGAAAAGCATGATATTCCCAAAATAGCAGAAATCATTTTGGAAGAAACAAATCATGAGTCTAATGACAATGATGAGCATCATGAGCCTGAAGGAAATCATGAGATTTCTATCAACTATATCCATAATGGAAAGATCTGGGATCGAAATAAAATGGATGAAGTTGATGACGTTTTCTCATACCTTTTGTCAAAGGAAATTGATGAGGAAAACGAGGATCCAGAACCAAAGTCGGTATATGAATGTCAAAAGAGACATGACTGGATAAAATAGAAAGATGCAATACAAGTCGAACTTGATTCGCTCAATAAGCGAAATGTATTCGGACCTATTATACTCACACCTGAAGATGTGAGACCGGTTGGATACAAGTGGGTTTTCGTTAGAAAACGAAATGAGAAAAATGAAATTACGAGATACAAGGCTCGTCTCGTAGCTCAAGGATTTTCTCAAAGACCCGGGATTGATTATGAGGAAACATATTCCCCCGTTATGGATGCAATAACGTTTAGATTCTTGATGAGTCTAGCGGCTGATAAAAATTTAGAAATGCGTCTCATGGATGTTGTTACAGCATATTTGTATGGATCATTAGATACAGATATCTATATGAGAGTTCCCGACGGGTTTAAGATGCCAGAAGCATTGAAATCTAAACCCAAAGAGTTATGTGCAATAAAGTTGCAAAGATCATTATATGGGTTAAAGCAATCTGGGCGAATGTGGTATAATCGTCTCAGTGAACATTTAACGAAAGAAGGATACGTAAACGATCCTATATGCCCATGTGTTTTCATCCAGAAAACAAAATCCGGATTTGTGATAATCGCGGTATATGTTGATGATCTAAATATAATTGAGACTCAAGATGAAATAAAGAAAGCAACAAACTATTTAAAAGGGGAATTCGAGATGAAAGATCTCGGACAAACAAAGTTTTGTCTTGGCCTACAAATTGAACATTCCCAAAAGGGTATATTTGTGCACCAATCCACGTATACTAAAAGAGTGCTAAAACGATTCAACATGGATAAGGCAACTCCTCTTAGTACTCCTATGGTCGTTAGATCACTTAACGTTGAGAGTGATCCATTTCGACCGCATGAGGAGAATGAAGAGATACTCGGTCCTGAAGTACCGTATCTAAGTGCAATTGGAGCCCTTATGTATCTTGCAAATTGCACTCGACCTGATATATCATTTTCAGTCAATCTTTTGGCTAGATTTAGTTCATCTCCTACACGAAGACATTGGAACGGAATTAAACATGTCTTTCGTTATCTTCAAGGGACTATTGATTTAGGGTTATTTTATCCTAAAAATATAAATGGTCAAATGATTGGTTTTGCAGATGCAGGATATTTATCAGATCCACACAAAGCTCGATCCCAAACAGGATACGTATTCACGATTGGAGGTACTGCTATATCATGGCGTTCTCAGAAGCAGACACTTGTAGCTACTTCTTCAAATCATGCTGAAATCATCGCACTCCATGAAGCGAGTAGAGAATGCGTGTGGCTACGATCAATAAGTCGACACATTCAAACGAGTAGTGGAATTCGTCTGAATACGGAGCCAACTATCTTGTATGAAGACAATGCTGCATGTGTTGCTCAGACAAAGGAAGGATATATCAAAAGCGATAGAACCAAACATATCCCTCCGAAGTTCTTTTCATACACCCAAGAGCTCGTGAAGAATAAAGACATTGAAGTAAGATATGTCCGATCATCCGAGAATTCTGCGGATCTCTTCACGAAATCATTACCCACCTCTATATTCAGGAAACATGTTCATAACATTGGAATGCGTCGTCAACAAGACTTGTAAGTTATGATCCTGATCATTCGAGGGGGAGCTTGCGCGGTTGCACTCTTTTTACCTACTATGGTTTTTCCCACCGGGTTTTCCTAGAAAGGTTTTTAACGAGGCAACATAAAATATTACGCAAGAGACATAGTGACACTGGTCTCCAAGGGGGAGTGTTGTAAAAGTCAAGGAAAGCTGCAACATCAAATATACATGCGTAAACGATCGTAAAATAATATTTTGTGTGGAGCCCACCGTCACTATGCACCCATAGTAATTTACTTTTTTATGCCTATATAAACGAACGAATTCGTTCGATGTAAGATCACAATTCATACTTCAACAATAAGAAGTTATAAGAACTCTCTCTCCTCCTCTCATCTCTTTATTTTCAGTATCCCGATCCTTCTGCGGGTATAAATTCTTTCTCCATTAAATATATTTATATACACCATAAAATAAAGTAATTATTATAACAAAAATGTTTCTTATCGTGTCTTTTTTAATTTATTTTACACCGGGTTATTTATATATTTTTTAATAGAAAAACTATACTGCAGGAAATGTGAATGGTTGCATTGCTTTTGGGGGTTGTAATCATACCTCTATGTCTCTCTTCTTCTTCTTTTTTTTTTTTTTTTTTTCAAAACCGGAAAGAGGGAAAAGTAGCTTAAACTAGAAAACAAGAAAAACAAAAAGTTTACTACTCCTAACCTACTCAAAAAATCATACTGTAATACGCGATTCATTACAATGTTATCTCACTCAATCAAAGTTAAATTTTGGTAAATCCAAAGCCGGATGTCCAAGTTTAATAGCTTAAGCTGGATGCTCTCAAATTACAATGGCTTTGACAAAAAGAAAAGTACGAGTAGAGAAAGAGAGAGACAAGTGGGCGAGGCAAATAAGAGCAAATGATGGCGAAGCATATTTAATTGAGCATGATGGTTTCTTTTCTCAGGTAGGGTTTTCTCTAAGATTACTTCCGTCTCCTTATTATTATTTTTTTTTTAACTTGTTTCCATCATTTCTCTTGTCTCTTTTTTTTGCACCACTTTCCCAATGCTATTGATCGATTCTAGGATCAGTGTGTGCTTCCCCACATCTACATTTCAAAACCTTTTTTTAAGAAATAAATAAATTCAAGATAATGGTGCCAATCTTCAAAAATAATCTTTAAATGTTTGGTTGCTTCCTCACCGTAACATATATAATGTGTGAAGCAGTAACATAACAAAATTAACAACACACATCATTCAACTACAAAAAAAAAAAACAAACCTTAACATGAGAAGTTCACCAATTGGTAGACTAAAAGGAAAAAATAATCTAAAAGAAAAAGAGAATTGAGCTCTTTGCCTCTGTTTTTTTTTCTCAGCCGCAATGGATCTGAAGTAGAAGTACGGACAAGACAAAGAAACCTTGTCTGTCTCTATACAAACATTATACACAAATTTTTTTTAAAAAAGAAGCCTTTTTTTTGTTTTGTTTTTGTCTTTT